AAAAAAAAAAAAAAAAAAAAAAGCATTTATTTGTGCTAATCAGTGTTTCTTTTAAGCTGCGTGGTGTGCACAGCCGCACCTGCCAGTATGGTACGAGTATGCCTGTGCAGCTGCACATGCCACACAGCTTAGAGGGAACGCTGATGTTAATGCACAGTAGCATTGATTATGGCACATTAATGAATGTGTAGACATGCTCGGTTTGTACTAGTTTGACTGTGGAGTAAAATTTCTTGCTGGCCCCAAACATGGTGACTGACCTAATTCTGAGCAGAGGGACAAGAGCCTCTCACCAGAAAATTTTCAAGTTTTGATGCCAACATAAGCATCAGAACATCCCACTCAAAAATTGCTAGCCTTGGATGCAGCCAGTATGCAATGCTTCTGAGGCAACTTACCCTGCCCTCCCAAACAGAAGCAGGAAAAGAAATCCTTCCCAGTCTCATGTGTCAACCTACAAAGCCCAAAAGGGAAAAACTGAACACCCTCCCTTCTGCTCTGTCACCTGGGAACAGCAAGCAGGACTCCACACATCACACCCTCTGACTAGACAGCAAGAACTCCCATTTCTGCTTCCTTTCCATCAACTTGTTCCAGCTGCTTTAAATCTTTCTTGACTAAGCCAGGTGCAGAGCTCTACTTCATTCTCTTGTTACTGAGCATGGTTCTCTCCAATATTCACCTGCCTGTCACCATGCTTGCAAAGAGGACTTTTGTCAAATACCTCTGAAATCTACTTTGGACATACTTAATGGACATTACCAGCCATTTCAAACATGTTGTACCACATCAATGTTAATTTTGAAAGGTTTGTTAAGAATTATTATTTTCCATAGTAAAAGCAAGAAATATTTTTTTAAATGCACCATGACAGTTTCAAACTCAATCACCACAAAAATGAGACAAAAGGGTTGTTCCAGGTACAAGTTTTTTTTACATATCCACCCTATCTATAAAATATGTTGGAACCTACCTAAGTTTGCAGTAGTGTGCAGAACAGTAATAGTATCCTTAGTGTATTGACTCTAATATACTGTCCTCCATTGTACAAAACCAACTGCCCTGTTGGCTTCAGTTTACAATCTTATGTAAAATACAACCTACCTTGCATTGTAACATGTTTGCCACTCTCTCCTGCATTGACTGCCCCGCCTTTGGTCTCACAAGGATATAAACAGTTTTTACATCAGGACTGGAGCGCAGTAGCTTTTCCATCAGTACTTTGCCCATGAAACCTGTGGCTCCTGTGATGAGCACGGCCTTTCCATTGTAATAAGCTGCGACTGAAGACATGGTTCTCTCCATCTGTCCCTCTGTCCTCCTTCTGACTTCCTGCAGGAGGTACCTAAGAGGAAGCAGAAATAACAAGAATTTAGAAATATGGAAGTAAATATTGTTAAAAAAAATTATCCATTTAAACTCTTCCGATTATATCAGTTAACTGTTTAACCAATAACATGTACCTATTATGGAGGGCTGGGGGTGCAGGGGCTGCATGAGGGATGTGCTAGAGACGGCCTGGGGCTCCTTGCAGCAAGACAGCTCCCCACACTAGTGTGACTGGTTCCAGGGCCTGGAGCCCAGGACCAAGTGTGGTCGCAGTTGAGTGACCCTGGGCAGCCCACAGCCAGGCACTCGGTGGGTGGGCGGACAGTGCAGCACCAGGGAAGCACCTCCCTAGCTGTCATTTCATCATGATGATGATGATGGGGGCAGAGTGCTCTCCATCTCCTCCATAGTGGCCTGAGACACATAGCCCCAGCATGGGGTGTCAGAAGCATGCTGCCACTGAGCTAGCCACACTGACCGTGGCCCGTGTCAACTCACAGCCCCTTCTGCCAGAGTAACCCCTGCCCACCTGCCTGTCCACAGGTAATACTGCCACCGCCAAGAATGGGAATAAGATTGAGAGCAGTGAGCAAGCCCAGGAGGGAGGGATAGAGTCAGGGAGACCCCCAGTAGCCAGCATCTGCTCTGCCTGCCACAGGGCGAGACACACAGGTGGCAAGTGGAGGTCTTGGTGCTGGCCATCATGTCCTGCCCTGCCTCCCCTTCCCCACCTCTCCTCCTCCAGGGAGAAGGCAGGCTCAGCTCAATTCCACTGCCTCCTCCCACCCACCCTGGCCTCAGCACTTTGATTTACGTGGTGCAAACTGCTGGTGGAAGGAGCAGATGGCGTGCAATAGCAGGCTGGTTTAAACATCAACTGTCATGCATTAATGGTACAAGTAAAATTATAATTTAACCATTTAACCTTTCACAACCCTAGTCAAAAGATGGGACACTTGAGCCTACTTAACTGTGATGTACAATAACATTTCTAGTCTGTCCAAATCAGATATTTAAGCTCTGAGGAAAAGCAGGAGCTCAGACATATCCCTGATCCTAGTGTTTCTTTTGGCAACCCTGTTGGTGCTTCCCTGCTGACCAACCAGGTGATCGGAATCATAATTTCATAGTAGCTAGTGTCAGGAGGGACCTGAACAGATCATCTAGCCTGACCCCCTGCCACAGGCAGGAATGAATGCTGGGTTCACAAGATCCCAGACAGGTGATTATCCAACCTCCTCTTGAATTTGCCCAAGGTAGGGGCGAGGACCACTTCCCTGGGAAGTTGGTTCCAGATTTGGCCACCCTAACGTTAAAAAAATTGTCCTCTGATCTCTAACCTAAACCTATTCTCCATCAGCTTATTACCATTGTTCCTCATCACCCCAGGTGGTGCTGGGGAGAAAAGGGCTCTACTTATTTGCTGTTGATCTCCCCTGATGAGTTTGTAGGCAGCCACCAGGTCCCCCCTCAGCCTCCTCTTGCTGAGGCTGAACAGGTTCAGGTCCCTCAGTCTCTCCTTATAGGGCCTGTCCTGCTGGCCTCTCACCAAACAGGTGGCCCTCCTCTGAACCCTCTCCAGGCTGGGCACATCCTTTGTAAAGTGCAGCACCCAGTACTGGAAGCAGTACTCCAATTGCAGCCTGACCAGTGTCACACAGAGGAGTATCACCTCTCTGGACCAGCTTTAGAATCATCTTTGGATGCATAACAAGGTATGGCTGGCCTTGCTGGCTGTGGTCTGGCATTGGCAGCTCATGCTTGTCTTGGAGTCAATAATGACTCCAAGATCCTTTTCCACTGGTTTCAAGAAGGGAACTCCCCAGACTGTATGTATGCTTCTCCCCAGGTGCAGCACCCTGCATTTGTCTACATTGAACCCCATCTTATTCTCATGTGCCCACTTTTGTAGTCTGCCTAAATCTATTTGCAGCCTCTCTCTCCCTTCAAGTGTGTCCACCTTGCCCCATATCTTACTGTCATCAGCAAACTTGGACAGCTTGCTTTCTACCCCCCACCCCCACCCCAGCCCAAGTTGCTGATGAAGATGTTAAAAAGTGCGGGCCTGAGGATCAAGCCCTGGGGTACCCCACTGCTCACATCTTGCCGGATTGAGTACAACCCGTCCACCACTACTCTCTGGGTGCACCCCATCAGCCAATTTTTTACCCATCCAACTGTGCAGGCATCAATGCCACAGTTGCTTAATTTATTGATGAGGATGGGGTAAGAGACGGTGTCAAAGGCCTTCTTAAAGTCTCGAAAGATTATGTCCATGGTGACACCATCATCCAAGGATTTAGTTACTTGGTCATAAAAGGCAATCAGGTTGGTCAGGCAGGACCTGCCTTTGATGAACCCATGCCGACTGCCCCCGAGCATAATCTCCCCTGCAGGCCCCCCACAGATGTACTCCTTAATGATTCTCTCCAAGATCTTCCTGACCACCGAGGTGAGGCTTACAGGTCTATAGTTACTTGGGTCCTCCTTCCTCCCTTTCTTGAAAATTGGGACCACATTAGCCAGTTTCCAATCCCCTGGCACCTGGCCAGATGACTACGAATGCTCATACAGGCAGGCCAAGGGCTCCGCGATGACCCCTGCCAGCTCCCTCAACACCCTGGGGTGGAGGCCATCTGGATCTGCAAATTTAAAAGCGTCTAGCCCTTCCAGAAGATTCCCAACTACATCTGCACTGACTGAAGGCCTGACAGAGCTATCCCCAAGATTGTCCCTACCTCTGGTAGGTGGGATATCTTAGTCCCTGTTCAAGAAAACAGAGGCAAAGAAACTGTTAAAAATATCAGCTTTCTTGTCTGGCATAACCACAAGATTACAGTTCGCATCTTGCAGGGGCCCTACATTGCCTGGTGCCCTCTTCTTGCTCCCAATGTACTTGAAAAAGGACTTTTTGTTGTCCTTAATCCTGGACACTAGCCTGAGTTCAATCTCTACTTTGGCCTTCCTAATAGCCCTCCTGTACTCACGGGCTGAGGAGGAATACTCCTCCTTGGTGATAGCTCCTCCCTTCCACTGGTTGTATGCCAACCTTTTAGTTCTCAGGCATTCCTGAATGCCCTTGCTGAGTCCAGGAGGTTTCTGAGCACTTTCACCCCCTTGTTTCTCTCAGGTACTGTTATCTTTTGGGCCTGGAGGATTGCCCCCTTAAGGTACGACCATCCCTCGTGGACTCCCATCTCCTCTACCTTCTGGGCCCTCAGTGCCTCCCCCACTAGTCTCCTAAGCTCATTGAAGTCACTGAATCACTGTTGCTGAGATACCCATTTCACTGTATAGGACACCCTGGAGCCTACCCTGGTCAATTTTGATCTCTACTCCTTAGGTAAAAGTGTTTAAATTCTAGGTGTTGTGAAACATCAAAGGATTTAATAAGTCAGTGATCATGGCTGGATATCTTTTTAAAAGATAAAGTACAGCTCAGACAGAGGATCTGGGCTTGATACAGGATTTTTTTTTTTTTTAAATCAACTGAAGTTCTATTGTCTAAATGTTACATAACTCAAGAATAGACAAAGTGGTCCTTTTTTACCTTAAAATGTGTTTATGATTGAATCCTTGAAAATCAGGTCAGCTACCTTTACAGTAATCAAAGTGTACCTTGGGAATCTTTGCTTTCCTATTGCCAAAAGGTTTGCTTTAGTGAATTTTTTTTTTTTTTTTAAAGTACGAGTTGATAGCAACTCATACGTGAAATGGGTAATGATGAAACAAAAAAGATTACAGATGCTATACAAGAGAAAAGCCATGAAAAGATGCACAAACAACCATCAACCCAGAGGATTTTTACTGAGAAGTCTACCCAAGACTTGTAGCCTGTAACTAGTACATGCTTCTGTCAGCGAAGTTCTGGTTATCTAGATAAAAGAAGCAGTCTTAAGTCGCATACAGTGCTACACGCACTGGAATCATGGTTCACTTTTCCTTGAAAACAAGATGTTTCCACACATGTGCATGAATATACTCATGCCTCATAATAAACACATGCAGACCTAGGCACACATGTGTGCACACATATATACATGCTGCTTTATCCTGAGCAACAGAGTTGGAAGATATTATGTGCCTACCTGCAAAAGAAACAGTGATGAGCTGAACAAGTGGCATAAAATAACCATGTCCTGCATTCAGGCTGGATCCAAAGCCTACTGGAGATACTGGAATAACTCCTACTGAAGTCAATAGTCTCTGCATTAGGCTTTTACTGACATGGGCTCATTAGTAGAGTCCCTTCATATTTATACAGAAGTACGGTCATCTCCCCTTCTCCAGTGCACTCCAACTTACTGCACAATCAAGGACAGTGTCTCCACATTATTCTGTCTCTACATGCTTACCCAGGAGGGATGCAACCCTGCAGATCAAAGCTGCATACTATTTTCTTCAGTGTTTGTGAGTGGGGCATTAGCACTATAAAAGAATTTAAAGCCTGGCTCAGAGGCTGCTTCTGATTATTAAGGAGGCTCCTGAAATTGCCCAATTTCCCAACGTAACTATGAGTCACAAGAGTTCTAGTGTCCGACTCCAAAGACAGTAAGTTAGGACTGGGAGTAAGCAGCATCCTACCTCCTGTGCACTATTCTCAGGGTATGTTCCAACTTCAGTCACAGGAAAGATGGATTGGAGCATAGTCTTTAAACTAGCCTTATACTGGTGCCAGTAGCAGTCTAGTTCCAGTTGCATGGAGCTTAGTGCAGTATAAACCTATGTTTATACAGCCTTTGGAGCAAGTGCAGGGCATCACTGAGAAATGAGCCTCATCAATTTGTGTCTACTCCATGCAAGCCCACACCTACAAGTTAGGCAGGTATATGACTGGCATGCATACCTTAGTGGCTCTGTGCTTTTGCCTTCTGGATTTCCATGTCTAAGGAGCTTAAGTATGGCACTGTGGGGCACACTCAAGCCACCTGCTCTGCCTAATTTGTGGTCTTGGGCAAAGTGGGTATTGCTTCTCTCTTGGAGGTGCTGCTCAGCTTACTTTAGAAGTTGCATAGA